GGGGGTCAGGAAGGTGGGTGAGGCTAGTCCTGTCAATGGAACAAAGCTGGAGAGAGGAGAGAATCTGGTGTGGTCAACCGACAGAGATGCCTTTAAAGAATGGGAGATGAAGAATTTTTGTAGTAGTGGCCTCAGAACTGGGCAAGAGGGGCAGAGGAGATGAGAACCAACTGAATTATGGGAGGAAAACATGAAAACTCCTATTTACATTTATTTCCTATTTTATACTTTATAACTTTTCCATTTGGAGAGGTATATTTTATCAATAGTATATATGTACATAACTGGTGGGTAAATGTCCATATGTTAGGGATGTACAAACATGTGTTATTGGTAGGGATACATGGTCAAAAAATAAGGAGCTGGGCCTCCCTGGTGGCGCAAGGGGTTAAGCACAGCACTATGAAGCTGTCTGCAGCTTCTGCAACAATAGTTCGATCCTCCAGCTGGCCAGGGAGAAACCCACATGGTGCAGCAGACTTCTGACTCGCCCGCTGCTCCCCTCAGCAGTGTATTTCAGTCAATCTGCCTGTTAAGACTCCCCACTCTGTCTCTGGTGAATCCTCTCACCCCCCATACCTGTACCCCAGCTCTTGTATGCATAAATAAATCTTAAAAAAAAAAAAATCAGGAGCTACTAGCCTGAGAGTTGGGCAGGCCAAGAAATGTCTTCTTGTGTGAAAACTGCATTTTTCCTAAACTCAAACTTTCCGAATTCTCACCTCCATTTCTGAGAGAGACGCTCCAGGACCAGGATCTGCTGTTTTCTGTTCTGCAGGCTCTGCCTCTCTGCCTGAGTACACGGGGACCACTGGGGCCGCCCCGTGATCCTTCCTGGCATGAGTCTCAAAGGCGAGATCCTCTCACAGCATCTGCCCACTGTAATCACCCATTACGGAAAGGTCAGCCTGAATTTATCAAAACCTTTGAAGCTGCCCAGCTCTTCCGGCGCCTCTGACTTGGAAAAACAGTTTCTTTAACTTCATTCCCCTCCTGGTGAACAGACAGCTACTTATTGGTGTGAAATATTTCTCTTTCAAATATTCAACTGGAGGCAGTGGGGTGCATGCTCTAGAATGCTGCCAGGTGGAACCCAGCCTGGTTTTCCCTCTGGCGCCCCCACTGTCTCCATCCCTCCCTGCTTTTCCCTCTGGTCTGCTTCACGCTGAGCAGGCCCTCCCTGAGCGCAGCTACCAGAGCAGCCCAGACTCCTTCCCACCATGGTCCAGGGCAGCCCATCCTTGGCAGCTCTGCGCTTACGGATGCCCATGGTGTTTGGGAGCATTTCTGGCTACTGGAGCATGTTGGCCTTAGGCCTTTCCTAACTGAGGAGAGCCCAAGTTTTGACCAGTGCGGTGTGGGTGGTTTCCCCCAGGAGTGGGCATGCACAGGAGCCACCAGCTCTGAGTGATACTAGGGGGAGACCGATTGAATGAACTGTGCTCCTCCCCAGCTGCCTCCTGTGACCAGGGCCTCCTTCCTGCCACGCTAAACAGCTTCAAGACTTGTGTCTGATCAGTTAATAGTCTCAGTGCCGAAAGGGAAGAAAGCTGGTAGAAACCCAGCTATTTTTACATCCTCTAACTTTCCTGGCCATTTTAAAAATATATCTAGATAAGGCATTTTTAGTCTCCTTCCTGCTGAGCTTCCAGCCACTCCCCCATATCTCTGCCTCTTCCTTCTCCACCTACCTGCCCTCCTTTCTTTTCTGCTTTATGGCAGTGTCCCTCTCCCCTTCCTGTCCTAAGGCAGCTCCCCGCCCAGTGATGGGGCTCCCTGAGGCTGCTGGGAGGAACAATGGCCTCAAGGGCCTCACCGCACAGGATCATAACCATGAAACCAGGTCTTCCCTAGGGCTGGGCGGGGTCCTGCCTGTGTTTACCTCACTCCTCTTTGTTTCCCTCCTTCCGTTCCTATTCCCACCCAGTGGAGACCTTTGTTAAGTAGGACCACCTGGAGGGTGCACCTCTATCCTGCTGAGGAGGCCCTGGGCTACTCCAGCCACCTTGGTCCTGGCGGGGCTTATGCTCAGGGGTGTATCAGAGGCAGTCTTGACTCCTGGATCTCCTGCTGTGGGTGACCCTTGTGCTGCTCAGGCTAGGGAGCTGACTGGGGGGGAGAGGGCCTGGGCATTCAGGGTGGGGCCTTCATGGGGGCAACTTTTCCGTACTGGCCCCTAGTCTGCAGATTCATAGCGCATGTGTGCTGAAGATCCCTCCTCCTCCTCCTCCTCTTCCTCCTCCTCCTCTTGGGAACTCTACTAAACCTGGAGTGGGAGTGATGTCATCTTTTCATTCTTTCTCTGACTTCTCCGTTTCTGGCACCTCTTATGCTCCTGTAAGTGCTGATGCTCCCACAAATCTTTCCTCGACCATTGCCCTCTGTGTAATCTCTATCCCTGAGGTTTACCTGTTAATTCTCCCAGATAAAAATATTTACTTATCTGAATTGAACCTGAGCGCCAACCCATCTCCTGATGTTGCTTGCCTGCCCCCGTCCCCGGCCCCCAAATCAACATAACCAAACCCAGCCTCATGACTGCCTTCACTTCTCCCTTCTCCGCCTACCACTGGCTTCTTTTTCTGGACTCCCCATCTTAATTAAAAGGACCACTACTCCCTGAGCCTCAAGCCAGAATATCCCTGCTAAATCTTCCCTCTTTCACCTCGTGGACTAGCTCTTGGGCTGTCTTATTCTCACTGTTCCCCTGCCGCTGCCATCTCTGTGACAAAGAACCAGAGCGCTCACTCCCTTGTTTGAAAACCTCAGAGGCCTGCTGTTCTGGCCCTTCCCATTTAAAGCTATGCTTAGTTAGTTCAGGTGGTTGCGTGCAGAGTATCATCAGGAGCATTTGAGTGTTGAGAAGGGCACTGACACCTGCAGTCCTGCCCCGCACGGCCACCCAGCACGAGGCTGCGCCGGCATGTGGCTGCCCTCTGTGTGCGCTGCCCCTTCTGCCCAACTTGCTCTTTCACCTCAGGGAGAACAGCCCATCTTTTAAGACCTGGTTAGATGTCTCCTGACCCTCTAGGCCTTCTCAGACTTAGCCCCTTCCCCAAACCATGCAGCAGTGTGTCTGGGCAGTGATTTGTTTGTATGTCTGTCTCCCCTCTAGACCAGAGGCTCCTAGAGGACTGGGTTCACTTGTTAAAAAGTGAATTTGAATTAAATGTTGCATAGGTATCGATAAAGAATATAATAATACTTATAAAATATGTGTAAGATGTAATGGATAAAATATGAACACCTGTGGACTCACCTTCCATTGTTAGAGACATAATCCCTTCATGCCATCAATACCTATCACTGGACCTGGAATTAGTCCTGGGGTCAGTGAATGTTCATGAATGACTGCATGCCTGAATGAATGAATGAATGAATGAGTGTGTGGTTGAAGTCATTTTCTCTAGGCATCTCAGCAAACTCCAGGTGAAGGGATGATAATGAAATCCTGTCATTGCCTTAATTGAGCCCCACCCCTTGGGCTCACTGCCCTGCTCACAATTCCCTCTGAGTACTTTGTATGTTCTTATTCACGGCCTTCTCAGTGCCAAGCCTGGTGCTGGGTCCTGGGTTACATTGGGACAAAATGGTCAGAGACCTGTCTCTAGGGAGCTTCCATTTAAACTGCTCTTCCCACCTGGTACGGAGTTTCCCCTCTCTCTGCAGCCTCACTGTACTGTCCTAGTGCGGCGGTGTGGAGCAATGGACGGATGGCCTTAACATTGGAATCCTACTAGTGGATTCAAGTGGGACTACCACTTGAAGTCATAATGGCTTCGTAATTTATTTATTTTTAAAGATTTATTTATTTATTTATTTATTTATTTATTTATTTATACAAGCACTGGGTATAGTCAGAAGCGCGGGAGGGTGAGAGAACTCACCAGAGCCAGAGCGGGGAATAGAACAGGCAGACCGATGAAATACACCACTGAGGGGAGCAGTGGGTGCAGCAGGAGAGGTCTACTGCGAGGCTTCGTAATTTACGTAACTTCTATGTGGGGTAGTTTCCTTGTTTGTAAAGTGGGCAAAGTAGATCCTACCCCATGGATTTGCTGTGAGGCTGAAAGGAGTTAATATATGGCAGGTGCTTGGCATACAGTGGAGCTTGGGGAGAGGGTTCAGTTGGCACTGCCACTGCTGTGGTCAGCGAAGCATTCTGGTTGTAGGACTGGGGGTGCAGCAAGTGGCCAAGAGCACTCCAGGTGTTATTCCTGTCATTCACTCTCGTGTGAGGTCGGATCCATGGAAGGCCGAGTGCCCTCTCCCTTACTTGCCAGGTTCCCTCAGCTCCCACACTGGAGCCTTTTTACTGTCCTGAGTCATGATGTGAATCATGACTTAGGAAATATATATTGAGCATCCAGGTTGTCAGGCATGAGGCTCTGGGGTATAGCTATAGAGAGAGCACACCAAGGTCCTGTCCACAGAGCTGGCAGCCTAATGCAGGGATCATGGATGATACTCCAAAGCAATATATTCTATGATAGTCAGAAGGTGTAATCCACTCTGTGGAGAACAGAGAGGAGGGACAGAAGCTGTATTTTAGTAGAGTGGTCAGAGAAGTTGTCTCTGAAGGGTGCTGAAGAGCAGACTTGAGACAGTACAGTGCTGCTAATGGGAACAGCAAATGTGGATGTCCAGAGGCAGGAGTGGGCCTGGTGTAAGGGGAAGGGAGGGAGGGAGAGGAAGCTTAGTAAGAGACGAGGCCAGAGGGAAGGTGCTAAATCTCACAGGGCCTCATAGACCACCATAAAGCATTTGTCTTCTCCTCTGGGAGAGAAAGGACACTGTTGGAGGGGTTAAGCAGAGAAGGAAAATGGTCTGACTTAGGTGTGTAAAGATCTTCTTAGCTTCTGTGTGAAGAAAAGACCAGAGGTGGGCAAGTGGACTCAGCCAGGTTTGTGCCAAAATGAATAAAGAGGGGACAGTGGCTTGAAATAGGTGGAGAGAGGAGGCAATGGGAGTGGCCCCACTGCAGTCAACAAGATTTACTGATGATTGACGTGGACCGAAAGAAGGGTGTCAAGGACGACTCCAGAGGGAAGACTGGAAGGGCCCAGCTTGGACACATCAAATTTAAGATGCCTATGAGACAGCACAAGTGTGATAACTGGGACTTTTCCACCAAGTAGGTCTTGTGACTCAGGAATGATGTGGATTCAGAGAAGCTAACTTACACAAATCCTGAATCCCCCCCAAATTAAGAAGCGGGGCTCTGGGATTGAAAGATGAGGAAGAACCTGCAAAAGAGTTTAGAGAGGTGTGGCTAAGAGGGAGAAGGAAGCCCACGAAAAGGTGGTGTTCTGGAAGGCATATTTCAGGAAGAAGGGATACTCAGCAGTATCAAGTGCTATTGCTGACCAGGTGAGATCAGCAACTGAGAAGTAACTGTCAGATTTGATACAGTGGCAAATGAGGCCATTGGTGATTGCGACCCAAGCAATTTCTGTGGAACGAAGGGGAAAGGCCAGGTTGGATTGAGTTGAGAGGAAGGGAAGAAAGGAGCAGGAGGCAGTGAGTGGAGACAGCAATTTAAAGGAGTTTTGGTAAAAAGAGGAGCAGCACTGAAGGAGAAAGTGGTCAAAGTTTTTTTTTTGTTTTTTTTTAATAGGATGGAAGAAGCTTGTTTTCATGGTAATTGTAATGATCCAATAGAGAGGAGGCGTGGGGTAGTAGAGGAGAGGGGAGAAGTTATGAAGGTGAGAGGTGGGCCTTGGGAGAAGGAGGCGGGCAAACCCTGGGCGCAGGTGTGAAGTGGCAGGGCTGTGCAAATTCCCCTCAGTGGCTTCCACTTTCCTAGTGAGATGGCAAGCAGGTTGTCAGTGATGGGAGTGAGGGAGATGTGGGAAGCTTGAAGATCAAGGAGAAGGTGTGAGCAATCATCCAGAATGGTGAGTGATCCCAAGGGGTCATGGTGAGTGCTGCAGTTGCCAACTCTCAGCTGCAGCCCCTGTGTGGTATGTGCACACACACTGGCCTGAGTGCGGGGAGCGTGGCCCCTGCCCTGCAGACTTTGCTGGTGTGGAACCTTGTTTATTCGCTCTCACCACAGCTGAGTTGAAAGTCGACTTCAATTTGCATCCTTAATTGCCACACAAAATGTCCCCAGAAAGACCACATGGTGATGCAACATTGAACTGAAAGGTCATTGTGAACACAGAAGATTGCCTTGGACACATCAGGTGACACATATGTACTGTAGAAATTGCCAAATTTCTCAAGAAACCACAAGCCTCCTGGAGAGGGGGCGATGGTCCTTTCACATGCTATAAAGGCTCTCAGTCATTTCTGATTAGCTTTCAAGGGTTGCTTTTAAATTCCAGCCTCAAATAATTTAAGTAAAAATTGAAACTATGAATTTAACCTAGTGGGAATATTTCTTTATTATACCTAGACATGAGTCTCCTGAAAGGCCCTAGAGCCCAGGTTCTGAATATGGGCCAGAGAAATTCTGTCTAGCACCATACTGGGTCTCACAGCTGTGGCAAAGGTGGCCCAGAGGGACTAGGCTGGGGCTCTGGTTGTCTTATGAAGGAGAAAGTAAACCTGGATGGATGCTGTTGTTGGTTCATGAAAGAAATACTTGATGGGCATTGACTAGTGTCTCTTTTTTTCTGGAAGAGCTTTTATTATATTGAGGGTATATCTCTCCACCAGCAGTTCCTCAGGAGGGAGGAAGAACTGCAGAGTATCTTGGAGCCTCCCAGGTGAGCTCCTTGCTTCCCCTCTGAAATGGTTTGTCCTAAGGCATCCTGCCTATTGGCTCCTCAGTCTTTTTGGCAAGCAGATGGCCTCCACACAGGACAGCAGACTTAGTGCCTACTCCTGTCAGCCAGACATTAGGACAGAGGGCAGGAGGGGCAGGGCAGGCAGCTGTGGCAGGGCCTTTGTGGTGCTGTTCACCCAGACTGCCCTGTCTCCTGGGTGCCAGTATCTACCCAAATGAATACAGCCTGAAGCAGGTGTAGAATTGCAGGGGAACAATATGAAGCATTGTCTTTGGCTTTCTGTGCTTAGCTTCTTTCAAATTGGAAAAGGAAAATTGGCAGAAATGACCTTAAGTTAGGTCAGATAGAAGGGATATAAGGGAATTGGTTTGCCTTGTACTTTATTGAGCCACTCGACACTGCTGGTTTCCCCACAGGGGCCAGGTCAAGATGGAGATGGTCAGGCACACTGGACCTTGCTCAGTTCTTCCTCTAGGGCTGCATCCTAGAACTGCAGCCCCGCCCAGCCTTGCAATCCCAGAAAAGTAACACCCCACCACCACCACCGCAAGGACTTGGCCTGGTACTGGGCCTGCTGGAAGACTGCCAGAAGGAATGTTCTTTTGTCTCCGTTGAAGATGGCATGACCTAGGCATTGGGGTGCCTCCCTCACCCATCCCCAACTGTCTGGGGACAAGCCAGAACATAACAGACCTGCCGGGACTATGCTCTGAACTTGAGTTTCATGTTGGAGTTACCATGGGGGGAAACAATGCTAATGTCAGGGTCCTGCCCTCACAGATTCTCATGTAATTTATTTGGGGTGCAGTCTTGAGAGTCAGGAATTTCAAAATCACCCTAGGGGTTTCTAATATAGAGGTTTAGAGATTTGGTACTCAGGGTATGGTCTGCAGACCACAGTAAAGTTGATACTTGAACAACCCCAGGGTTGGGGGTGCTGGCACCCCCCTTCCTGTCCCCAGTGGAAAATTCACCTATAACTTATAGTCACCCCTTGTCTGTGGGTTCTGCATTTGCAGATTCAATCAGTGGCTATCTTTGGTTGGTCACGGGTTGTTCAAGGTCAACTGTCTAGGCTTCACGTTAGAGAATCTTAAAAATGCAGACCCCACCCAGACTTGCTGAATCAGAATCCACACTTCATCAAGATGTAAGAGGAGACCCTCATGATCCTACCACATGGCTTATGCTTAGGGCTAAGTGGGAGACACTTGTCAGAGCTCAGCCGGGATCATCAGTGCTCAGCAAGTGATGACTGTGATGCTGCTGGGCAGGTGGAAGCGGGTGGTGATGGGGTTTGGAAGATTCAGCTAATTTGGGAGAGACCTGTGCAGGGTGTTCTCTAAGATGTGTCTCTAACATGGTCATTTTCAATGTCATTTCAGCATTTCCAGGAGACTGGACCCCAAGGAGCCCCTGGGTAGCCAGAGAGCAGCTTCCCCAACCCCGAAGCAGGCTTCTGCTACCGCTCCGGGCCGTGAGAGCCCCCGAGAAACAAGGGCACAGGGCCCAGCAGGCCAGGAGGCTGATGGCCCCCGCAGAACGCTGCAGGTAGACAGCAGGACGCAGAGATCAGGGCGCTCCCCCTCTGTGTCACCAGACAGAGGCAGCACCCCCACATCACCCTACTCCGTCCCCCAGATTGCTCCCCTTCCCAGCAGCATGCTGTGTCCCATATGTAAGACTTCGGACCTCACATCGACCCCCAGCCAGCCAAACTTCAACACCTGCACCCAGTGTCACAACAAGGTCTGCAACCAGTGTGGGTTCAACCCCAACCCTCACCTTACCCAGGTAACCACCCTCTGCGCGGGCTCCCCGTACCTGCTTTCCCTGGTTACTTCTCTTTCACCAACTCTTCCTAATGATTTCCCTTGGTCACCAGCATCTGTATCTCCCTGGGGGGGTGTATCCTGGCTCCCAGATGTGGCAGCAGAGAACAAGTCCTGGCCCTAGAGCTTCCAAGGGATTCCTGCACCTCCTGAAAGCTTGGGCAGAGTTCTAGAGTAGAAGGTGCTTTCTTGCCTGGTCCAAGTTTGACCTGGAAAATGGAGAGGGCTAGAGACAGTCTCATGGACAACTGTTTCCAGTGGGTGCTCCCTGGGATGAGGGCCATGAGCAGCTGCAGGGCCCAAAGGGGGAAACATGTCCCTGGCCCTTCCCCTTCTCTCCCTGGTGTAGTGGGTCTGGGAGGAGGGTGCTGGTAAGGGGAGCAAGGTTTTAGGGGCAGCAGGTAACTACCTTCCAGCTGGTCTCTGGGAACTTCCTCCTCTGGATTTTAATTCCAGTTAGCCAGTGAAGCAGTATCATCCCCAGAGCAACAAGCTCGGGGTAAGGTAGAGGCCTAGGTTGGGGTTCAGGCATTCACAATGGGTGACTGTCCTACACTCACCAAGAGGCCACTGCAGGCCATTTGCATCAGATTGGCCTCCTTTTTGTCCACAGTCTCATCCTGGCCAGTTACTGTGGGGTGCTCAGCCAAGCCCCCGGAGACTCCTTGGTGACCTGAAGGCTGAGGTTTCTAATACACTAGCCGAACTGGGGCCCTTCCTTTGCAGTGAACTGAATGGGTTTGCTGGCTCTCTCCCTCTCCTCTGGACTGACCCACAGAAGTCTCTGGTCGTCCCCTGGGGCTCTGCTCTTGGGTAGGTTGGGAATGGCTGGCTACAGGTACAGGCCTGGCCGCCTCTAGATTATCAGCAGCAGGAGCCATTTGGACCACGTGGGTGGGGGATGAGTGAGAATAATTGTTCACAGGTCGGGGTCTATTTGTGACATGAGGTGCTGTGGGTGTGGGACGTGTGGTTTGCGAGAGGTAAGTGTGAGATTCTGAGGAAGGAGCTGCCGGTGCGGGGAGATGACTCAGTGCATTTGGAGTCACTCCTGGAGTGTGGAGGCTTCCTGAGGAGGCGTGCACACTCGTGATTATTACATCTGCGATTAGCAACGGGCCCATCCCTGCACTGATCAGTTAGGTAAGTGTTTGTCTTCAGTATTTAGAACAGTGTGATTAAGGCCAGGGAAGCTTGCCTTTGTGTTTTTGCCAGCGAGAAGCCTGAAGCACCTGGTTTCACAGGAGCAGGGTGGTTTGGCAGGCAGGGATGAGAGCTGACCCTGTGGGGCATCCCACTGGTGTGACCTCACCCCTCTGGCTCCCAGCCTCCCTAAGATGCTCACTTGAGCAGCAGTATCTGAACCCCTCCAAGTGGGGTAGGCAGAGATCAAGGGAGAGCCCCACATGGCGGCACCAATTTCCTAGTGGACATCCCAACGTTTGCCACACAACAGGCTCCCCCAAGCCCAGGAGTAAGTTGGGAAGAAAGCCAGCCTTTGGCTGTGCCTGGAAAAACAGCAGAGTGGGAGGACCTTGGCGACACTCGGTCCATCTGTCTCATTGTGTAGGGAGGAAGCCAAGGCTCAGGGCCAGGAGAAGGGACTCAAACTTACTGCAGACTCATGGTGTTTGGTGATGAGTAGGCTTCTTGGCCAGGTATTGAAGCAATTGCCAAGCTGGACAAATGCAATAGCTCTTTGCTATGAGACTTCTCAGGGCCTTCAGCATCCTGAGGGGCCTCTTAGAGCTCCAAGACAGAGTGGTAGGCCAGAGCCTTCCCCAGACTTGCTTTCCCGGAACATTAGCAGCTGCATCCATCCAGTTGCCTGGCATCCAGTTTGGGAAATGCTGACCTAGTTTATTTTCCAGGCTCTCACCTGGTGGAGCCCCTTTTCTGCTGGGGTCACCAACTTTGGCTTTTAGTGGTGTTCCTGTTGAGGAAAAAGAATCGGCATATTTACCTTGAGTTAGTGTTGCTTTGCTCAGAGCAGATTCACTTCCCTGGTCATGCTTTCAAAGTCACAAGAACACAAGTCCTCAGGTTTTGCTCACATAGCTGCTATTAGACCCACCTGGTCAGACCAGACCTATTCTGGTGCCTCTAACTTGATGTTATGTCACCCAAGAAGGCTGTTTCTAGGATTGCCCTGGCATCTCTGTGCAGGGTTTCAGCCTGGCCTGAGATTCTGGACAGTGTGAAGGGCTGGTCCTGGTGTCAGGTACTCAGGGAGAGTGGCCTTTTTCAGAAAACTCAGCTCCAGCACTCACTTCCTTTATTAGTCCTGCACTTCCCAGGCAGGGCCCAGCTCAAATGGAAAGACACTAAGGAGGGGGGCGGGGTACTGCCGGTCCCAGCACAGATATGCTTTAGACTCTGGTCACCGGGGACCCCAATGGGGATCCTGTCTGAGGCTGTGCCTGAAACTACTAATGTGGTGATGCGGAGCCTCAGTGAGAATGGCCAGCAGCCTGGCTCCTGCATCCTGCCTCAAAGATGACCGAAGCCCTGTCAGAGCATCAATGAGATGCATTGCTCTACAGCGTTGCAATAGCAGGGGGAGGCCTATGGCATCCCTGTAGAGGGACTAGGGCCACATAAGTCACAGGGGGGCTTTCATGACCTCTCTGAGAACACCACTGAAGCTGCTCTTGGATCTTTGGAAATGTGATCATGGAAAATGGTGCTTTCTTCATGCGTTTCATAGGTAGAGAATCATTGGCTGGCTTGTCCTCAAGTTGCATCACCTTCGTGTTGAATGGCTACATCAGGACAAATAAGCAACAGGAGGGGAAGGAGAGGAACTCCTGGGCCCACGGTCACTGGACTTGTTGTTTTTCCGTCACACAGCATCTGTCAATGTCTTATAATTTTTGATGAGTCCTGCAGAAACAGCGTGCTGGGTCTGGGCCAGGTAGAACAGGTAGTGCCATTGGCTAGAGCAGTGTCTGAGGTCTGAAACTACTATTTTAATGGCAAGTGGATCCAAGCTGCACCTGTCAGCCCAAGGGCTGCCAAAGGGGTAATGAACTTACACAGACATGGTACTAGCTGTCTGTCCACGCCCAGGGTGGCCAGTCCTTGAGCTGTGAGGGCTCAAGAAGAAGATGCCTGCCCATGACCTTGCTGGGCTTCTGAGTGCCTGGTCCACATTGAGGCTGCAAAGCACTCCCTATTTGAGGATGAGGTGACCTGGTCTTGGGAAGTCTGGCCTATTCTGGGTTATTCTGGAGCAAAAGGGCTGGACCTAGAATCAAAGGGCGGGTCTCCAGTTTTCTCCCAGGGACTCTAAGCCCCGATTCTCCATCCATACTGAGGAAGGTCTGAGACAAATAGGGCTCTCCTGGCTGCTCTTCATGGTGGAGGCCATTTCATCAGACCTGGTGGCTCACAGTAGGTGAATAACTTAACCTGTTTTAAACCATGGCAAATGACTGGGGTGGGGGGTTTCCCTTATGGATTCTGAACATTTCTTACCACCCACAAGAGACCTTCCTCTAAGGATGCACTGGTCAAAAGGTCAGAGGTGTTAGCATTTAAACCCATTCAGCACCCAGTGATGGGGGGAGGCAAGAAGATTTTTCTCCTCTTCTCTCCTTGGGTGTGGGTTCTTAGACAAGGACCTTAAACTTCTTGAATGTCAGATTTCTCTAAAAGTGAAGCTAGTCCAAGGACTGTGACCCCATCCCCAGCCTTCCAGGTCTTGGTGACCCACCTCTCTTGCGCTAATCAGAATTACTTAAAAGCTTCTCTAAGAAAACTACAGAAGCGCGATCATGGTCTTTCCTTGTCTGTTCCAAGGTTTGGACTTTGCGGAAACCAAACCAAGGTTGTTTAACCCAATGTGTCCCCACCCCCACCCATTGGCAAGCCTTGGCGTAGGCGCTCACCCAGTGGGTGGTGTGGAGAAGGGAGGGAGACAACACAGTGGCCACAAGCTTCTTTCTCTACTGCCTGCAACCCACTCCTTTCTGGCAGGGCCGGGGCACCAGATGGCCCGGGGGTGGTGCTGTGTGTAGCATGGATCCCTCCACTGCAGCTCCCAGCCTTGCCCCCTTTCCTCTGCTCCCTCCTGGCCACACTGTTGCCTGGGCCCATGAGCAGCTGTTGGGACCTGGGGCCGGTAGTGGGCTGAGAGGCAAAGATGTCTTCCTCCTTTGTGGCCCCAGGAGGAGGTGATGTTTATAATGTGCCCAGCCTTCCCCCCAACAAAATGCAAGTGGGTCTCCAGGTGGCAACCCTTTGAGGCCTTTCTCCCTCCGTTCACCTAGTCATCGGGCAGTTTGACTTGCCATGTCCACTTTAACCCAAACAATCTCCAAGTCAATAGAGAAATGCAACCCGAGCTCCAGTCAACCCTAGGCCAGCCAGCCCTGCTGTTGGTCTCTGTTCCCAGGAGAGAGCACCTCCTTGCTTGGACCACTGCCGGGTGGAGGCCAGAGCCACTGGGGCCATGTCGAAGAAGCAACTGTGCTGGATTGGGAGTTGTTTCAGAGCTGGAGCCACCAGGCATGAAACTTGAATTTTTACCTATCAAAGACCACTATAAAGTGTTCTAAGAATGAATGTAGGGCCTAAAATTAATTCAGAACAGAAAATATGAAATTTCATTCCTAAAACACCTGCTTTTATGTGAGGGCAAAAGAAACAGAATGAAATGTATATGGAGAAAAATGGTAGAGAAAAGGAAAAATAAATAAAATGGAAACAGGGAGACAGGAACAAGGTGGGAGGTGATGGAGAAAACCAGAGGCAGGAAGAGGAGGAACAGGGAAATCACAGGTTTCTGGCTGCTCCTCTGTTGGTTTTGCTGCTCCTACCATCTATTTAGCTCAGTCTTTTGTCTGGGTATCCCTGATGGTATCCTTGGTCAGCGGGTGGGCCCTCTCCCTTCTTATCCTTTCCTCCCCCTACAAATGCTTTTTGGGCTCTTATGACAAGCCAGGAACTGTCCTCAGCGCT